TAGCAAAGATTAGCATGAAATTCCAAAAAAAAGGTGTTTCATTTTTTGCTATAGATTTCCTATATTCTTAAGTTTTTTTGAATGTTTTAGAAAAAAAAAGTTATTAAAAGTTTTTTTTTTATTTTTTAAAACTTGTTGAATATTTTTTCCACATTTAAACTCTCTCTAAAAAATATGGCTTGATATACGTATTTCTGAAAGACTTTTACAGACCGATTATTATTAATTTTAAGGTTCATAAAGTAAGGATTTCAAACTCATTTATCATGAAAACAAAATTTATAATGAAAAGCGTTATGTTTGTTTTAATGTAAAATACATAATATATTAAGGTAATTTAGTTAAAAACATTTTATTTTATTTTTATTTATTTATTTATTTATTTATTTATTTATTTATTTATATGAAAAATATACAATACTTTTTTAATACAAATAATCATGTAAGTAGCTAATTAATTAATAGGAATCAGTTAATAATAGTAACTTTTGAACTAAAATTGTTTATTTAATCGATAAAGATTTTACTTCTGGCAGAATAAACAAACTGAAAATTGTACAAATTTTATTTTGGAAAAAATTTACAAAACCAATTAATTTTTAATTTTATGTAAAAAACTTATACTAAGAAACACAGACAAAAAAATCTGACGTGGTCAGCACATAACCGACCGCATTGTATATTGTCTAATTAAGTGAAAGGCTTACAGAATATTATAAAAATGTCTGGACATTAGTAAGCTTATAATTAACATACCTAGAAATATGTAAATTTGGCTCTTAGTAGAGTTTTGCTTTGTGCTACCCGAATTCCCAGAAATGCTCGCCAGTTAACCAAAACTCAAATATTAAATTTCAAGAAATTCCATCAATTCGTTCCGTAGATATGGTAAACAATGTAAAAAAGGCCCGCAAATCAGTTTTCAAGCTCTAATCTTTCCCAAAAGTTTACATGTTCATTGTTTTAATACGAGGAATTCAAATATTAAATTTCAATGAAATCGGTTGATTATTTCTCTTTATATACATAAAAATGTATGTTTGGCCCGTAGTAAACGTCCAGTTGCTGATACCTGATCTTTCCAAAAAATTTACATGTTCATTGTTTTAATCCGAGGAATCCAAGTATTAAATTTCAATGAAATCGGTCAATTATATTCCTTTATATACGTAAAAATGTATATTTGGCCCGTAGTAAACGTCCAGTTGCTGAGGCCTGATTTCTTCCAAAAGTTAGGAATTTTTGCGGACGGTCGAGAAAAGCTTATATATGAAATTTCAAGTAATTCGGTTGAATACTTTCTTCAAAATGTTCAAAAATGTAAAACAGGCCCGCTAAAAAGTGCAGTTCCCGAGGCCTGATATATACCAAAAGTTGATCAATCCGTGCCATGGTGGAAATAAACTTACATATAAAACTTCATCAAAATCACATTGTGTAAACAATAGGTAGGTTATGTGATGGCAACAAATTTTGCATATCGAGTTTTCGATGGGAACGTACTTCTCCATAGTAGGGAAGTGTAAATAAACTATTTTTAGCAACCTGCCGGTCTGTCGGTTTGTCGGTCTGTGTGTGTACGCGTGTATCTCAAGTTCGGCTGAACCAATTTTGATGAAATTTTATATGTAAGTTTATTTCCACCATGGCACGGATTGATCAACTTTTGGTATATATCAGGCCTCGGAACTGGACTTTTAAGCGGGCCTGTTTTATATTTTTGAACGTTTTGAAGAAAGTATTCAACCAATTTACTTGAAATTTCATATATAAGCTTCATTCGACCGTCCGCGAAATCTTGTAACATTTGGAAGAAATCAGATGTCAGCAACTGGATATTTACTACAGGCCAAATATACACTTTTGAATATATTATAACGAAAAATAATTAAGTAATTTCATTGAAATTTAATATTTAAATTCTAAGTATGAAAACAATGAATCTATAAATGTTTTGGAAAGATCAGGGCACGGAAACCGATCTCGGGGCCAATTTTACATTTTTACCGACCGTATTGTGTAAACAATAGATAGGTTATGTGATGGCAACAAATTTTGCATATCGAGTTTTCGATGGGAACGTACTTCTCCATAGTAGGGAAGTGTAAATAAACTATTTTTAGCAACCTGCCGGTCTGTCGGTTTGTCGGTCTGTGTGTGTACGCGTGTATCTCAAGTTCGGCTGAACCAATTTTGATGAAATTTTATATGTAAGTTTATTTCCACCATGGCACGGATTGATCAACTTTTGGTATATATCAGGCCCCGGGAACTGCACTTTTTAGGCCTGTTTTACATTCTTGAACATTATGAACAGCATATTCAATCGATTTACTTGAAAATTCATATATAAGTTTTGCTCTACCGGCGACGAAACCTCCTAACTTTTGGAAGAAATCAGGCGTCAGCAACTGGACGTTTACTACGGGCCAAATATACATTTTTGTGTATATAAAGAGAAATAATCAACCGATTTCATTGAAATTTAATATATGAATTCCTCGTATGAAAACTATGAACATACGAGTATAAACATTTTTTGGAAAGATCAGGGCTCGAAAACTGATTTGCGGGCCGATTTTACATTTTTCACCATATCTACGGAACGAATTGATGGAATTTCTTGAAATTTGATATTTGAGTTCTGGTTGTTTCTGAAACTAATTCACGAAGATTTCAGGGAATTCGGGTAACACAAAGCGAAACTCTACTAAGAAGCAAATTTACATTTTTCTAGGTATGTTAACTATAAGCTTACTAATGCCCTAAAATTGGAAAGAAGTATTTAACAGGGTATTTTATAATATTCTGTAACACTTTCACTTAGCTAGACAATGCACAATGCGGTCGGTTATGTGCTGACCACATCAGATTTTTTAAATAGGAATTTCTGTTTACAACGTCATAATTAGTACATCAGCTTTTTTAATTTTATTTGTAGTATTTATATTAAATTTTAATTTGGGATCCAAAAAAATACCCAGGTATTTGATACTGGAGCCCCAGTCGACTGGATAGTTAAAAACAAATATTTTTAAAATGAAAGATCTATAATCAGCCTATAATCTATATCTATTTATGAGAAATTAAGTTTAACGTGTTAGCATGTAGATCAGTAAAATGGCAAGAACTAAAACGGTCTCTATATTGCTTTATTTTATGTTATCGTTTGAATCCCCGATTTTTACCGACCGCATTGTGTAAACAATAGTTGCAAATCGTTAGTTTTCGTTTCCTTGTCATTTCACCATCCTCAAAATATTCCATATTTATTACAAAATAAATGGTTATAAGAGTTGTGTAGGCATGAAAGAAATTAAATATTGTAAACAAACGAGTGTATCAAAAATAGCGAAATAAAATAAAATTAAATTAAATAAGGTAAAAACTTTTTATTAAATAAGGTAAAAACAATTTATTTTCTATATTTTGTATTTAATCTCAAAAATAAATGTTGTTAGGTAAAAACATTCGAATGTATGAAAGCAATAGATATGAATTTAAAATTTCATATACAGGGTGTCCGAGACTCAATAGTATTTCCGATGCAGGTGATAGAATGAATCCAGACGAACAAAAAATACCTAGGGACATTTTTATTTTTCTTGAACTCGAGTTACGGGGCCTCAAAGTTGGAGTATTCGAAAATCGTTAATTTTCATATTTGTGATTATAACTCGATTATATATCCAACTTTGTATACTCATTTTAAAGCTAATAAAATTCTCCTTCTAACGATATACCAGAGATTGCAAAGACTTTAAGTTTGAGAAATATTCACGTGCAAAATCAAACTTTTTTTACTAAATTTTCGTTTAACCGTCATTTACTCACAATTCCACATTATTAACCTTATCAGTCTAACCTTCATTTTGATATAACATAATGTGGAAAAAATTTTAGAAATAATATGTCTATCAAGCGAAAAACTGAGGTCAAAACCTTAAAATATTAACTAAAACAAAGTATTTTTCAAACAAATTTTTTTTAATCTTTATTACGCAGTATTATACATTATAAACATGTCTTTCAAAATAAAAGACATTATTTTGTATTACCTTTATTTCTCTACAAAATATTTCATAAAGTTTCAGCAATATCGTGTCTACGAGGGAAATTTAACACCAAATTTAAAATAAACCAGCTTTTTCGTAATAAATTAATTATAATCCAAGTAATATTCACCCTTCAACTTTTTGTGTATTTTGTTATTACTCCAAAATTGTAACTACATATAATGATCTTCAGGTATAGCTTATATGGAAAACTTTAATTTTTGTAGAATAATTTGCGAACTGAAAGTAATTATTAATTTTTCGTTAAAAATACTACAAAGGTAACTAGGAGCATAAATTATAGTTCTTTTATATTTGCGTTTGTCGAGTTCTAAGTCTGTCTATTAATCCAATCGTATTATACGAGTATACGTATAAATTAAAATAAAATAAAGCTAAAATTTCTACATTTTAACATTTGGTTTATTACACAACCGCAAATGCTATAATTTTAAAAGTATATATTGAATTTAGTAAAAATTTTTGTCTAAAATTTAACACTAGCTATTTTATTAACAAGTTCAATGTTTTAGAAAAATTAATTTTGACATAGAATTAAAAAAATATATGTATGTATATGATAGAATTAATACGTTCAAATCTATGGGGTTATGTTTTATGAAGAGTGAATGTTCAAAAAAATTTTAGAGAAAAAACTATTTCTTTATTCCTATATATTATAGATGTGTTGATTTCTGGATAAATTTATCGAGTACCTGCCATAAAACTCGGAACACAACATTGAATGCGGTTGCATAAGTTCTTACGATATAATAGTAGCAATAGACTAAATTTAGTAAAAAAAGCACATAGCTTTTAAAAAATACTCGTACGAGTGAATCATAATAATACGATGAAGGTTCTTTTTTCTCGTTTTCTTAAAAATTTATAATACCTATTTTAAATGCAATATGTATTAATTTATTTTATTTTTCTTTTTTACAGATTTATCGAAAATCATTTAGTGCACTTTATACAATTTACGATGTAGAAAATGATCATCATATGCCAGTTCGATTGAAAAACTCACCAAAAGTACAAAGATCAAGATTACAATACGCAACTTGGATAGGAAATTCAACTTCATTATTAATTGTAGCCGATAATGACATTTATTTGAGACAATCGCCTTCCAACGAGGAAGATATTCGAATAACAGATACAGGATATGATAATATTATTTATAATGGTATTACTGATTGGTTGTACCAAGGTAAACTAACACAACGAAAATGCTATTTAAAAAAAATTACTCTTAAGCAAAAAAATTTTACAGAAGAAATTTTTGAAAAATCTGATGCAGTATGGCCATCACCGGACGGTACACAATTTATGTATGCGTCGTTTAATGATTCTAAAGTTGGTACAATGACATTTCCATGGCTAGCATCTGGGGCAATTATTACTGCAAGCGGTATGAATTCTGGTAGTTCTTTTCCAGAAACACGTAACGTCAGATATCCAACACCGGGCACTACTAATCCCGAAGTAACAATATATATTGTAAATATAACGGACGTCGATCAAATAACTAAAACAATAATAAAACCCCCATCAGCTTTAGATGGACAGTAAGTATTATATTTAATTAATTTTTTTCAAATCATTTTTTTTTTAATTTTTAATACCATAGTGAATTTTACATAACATCGGCTGGTTGGGTCACAGAAATCAGTAATCAAATTTCTGTTGTATATTTAAGTAGATCACAAAATTTTAGTATAATTTCCACATGTTTTGCACCGCAATGGAATTGTTTCGAGGTAAGAATCAAGTAATTTTTATTATTTGACAAATTAATCATTTTATGTTATCTGCATTAAAAATGCTTTAAACATATGTGTAGCATTTGTACGGATCGCAATAAAAACTATAAATAAAGAAGCTTTGTCCCACACATTTTCATTTTTTTTGTTTTATTAAACCCAGGCATTGATGTTCTGAAAAGTAAAAAAATTCTGAAAAAATACTTATAGTAAGCGCATAAAAAATCCCACCCTATATTTTTTAAGAAGACGAATAGGCAGCTTTTCTTTTGCACAAAAATTTGGATCTTATTCAAAGTGTTTCCTTAAAGTATGTTGATTTAAAAACTTCGGCAATAATTTATTGTCTAAAATATGGTGAAAAGTATAAAATCATTTATAGAAAAACTTAGCGTTTGAGTCTGATCCAAGAAGAAAGTATACTTTTTTATCTTAAATATTATTTGGCTTAAAAACATTTAAAATAATAAAAAACAGTTCAAAAGAAACTTTCATAATGGAATTAATCCTGAAAAATCCAAAAATTGCTATTGAGGTTTTTTAAGTTAACCACTAGAGATACAAAATTTCAACTTGACAAAAATGATCCTCTAAAATTTTATTAACAATAAAAATTATGAAATAAAATTAAAGCGATATAAAATTATATAAATAAAATAAACATAACGTAATTGGTTTTAATTTTGATTAGACGCATTCCGAACGTGCACCCGAAGATGAATGGTTAGACATAGTACCGCATCCAGTTTTTTCACCAGATGGGGATAGTTTTTTAACACTAGCTAGTATACAAGAAACTGGTACAGAACATTTTACTCATATCAAACATGTTACAATAACACAACAGAGAATATCTGTGATTTCTCATGGTCGATACGAGGTAAATACAAGAAAATTATATAAAAATAAGAAAAAAAGGGAAGAAAAAGTGTTTTTCTTTTAAACCAATTTGAGAATTTTTTTGTCATAAGAACATTAGGTAAACTTTTCTTAAAATAATTTTGTATGAATTTGTTAATTCTTTTTTAATTACAATTTTCAAATGCTTTTTATTTAAAACGTTTGTTGTATTGTTTCATTTTTTGTGGTACACTTTATTAAGGATCTTTAAATTTAAAAAAAAATAAATACAATACAATTTCTGTAATCAAAAGTTTAAAAAGTAGCTGCATAACGCAAAGTACAAAATTTACATTATTTATAAGTCAAAAAAAGCATTTTAATTTTGTTTTTCTCTTAACTTTAAATTTTCGTTTTTAAATTTTAATTTTATTTTAAATTTTAATTTTAATCTTATTTTTATTTCATGTATATGTACTTATACCAACATTTTATTTTAAAAAAACTAAACTAAAATTCAATATTTAAAAATATTATACTTTAACAAAAACAATGAATATGTCAATTTAATGTCAAAATAAAAACAAAACTGTCAAATAACTGTTATCAACAATGCTATCATTAAAACATTAAATGTAATTTTAATTGCAAAATAATTATTTAATATATAATTTAAAACTTTCAATTATTTAACTTCGAATAAAATAAAATTGACAATTTACATTTGCTGTAATAAATGAATAAAAACACAATACAAATTAATAACACAAAATTACTCGTTGAATAAAAACGTCCTTTAATTGTATGTGTAAATGTATAGCAAGTCGCTGTTATTACGCATGGCCGAAACCAGGTGAGAACTTTTTAAGTAATAATATTAAAAAAACTTTGTATAGCTAATGAAATTATTTTAACTAATTTAAACTAAAATAATTGAAGAGTAAATTTCAAAAGACGAAAATTTTAAGAAAAAGCTTGGAAGCTTCTGTAATTAGCACAAGTAACTTTTAAAAATTATTATTGATAAATAAATAAGTAAAAAAGAACTAATATTTATATTTAAATTCTTGTTTGATCATTTCATTTTGTATATTATTGTATAAGTATACGTTAATAGTGTAAACGATTACGTGCTACGGACATTATGTATGTAACCTATATGCTAAATTTTTAAAAATTGGAATAAGAAAAATTAAAAAAAAAAAAAACAAATAAAAAAAATAATATTCTTGATTTGAAAACTTATTGCGTGGCCCTTAAAAAATGAAATGCTTCAAGCTGTGCAAAAATTTTTCAAATTAAAATACATTTTTAAAAATATACTTTTCATATATTAGCTTAGTACATTAGTAGTCTACTTGCAAAAATGACATTTCGAGTAAATTTTAATGTTAATTTTAATTTTTAAAGAAATTTTTAAAAAGCAAAAACGAGCGTAGATCAAAATAGATTGAATAGAGGAGTAAACTAAGTATTTTGAAAATATAGAACAATTCTTTAGGCCTTTACAGTTCTATTGAACACAATAACTCATTTTTGTAAAAATATTGGATAGACCACTAATGTGCTGAGCGCCATATGTACTCGGCTTTATATCAATAGAAAGTTAACTGTTTGAACTAAAAAATGTGGCATGCGCCAATATTTAAATTTTTTTAAATAAAAATTGAGATTTGGATTCAATTCGAGTGAAAAGAATATTATCTGAGCGTGATGGAGCTTCAAGGAACATTTTAATTGCTAAATGTTTTAGCGATTGAAAACAAAATTTTTCAAGTTATGCAAACAAGTCTTAGTTACAAAAACGATAAAAATTTAAAAAGCTTCCTATGAATTTCAAAAATTAGAAATAGTTGTTGATCCGAATAAAATCACTTTATAGAAAGGGGAGCGGTGATAATGAAAGCCTTTGAAACGAATCGAAAAGTATAAAACTATAAACCTATCTACAAATGTGTAATTTACATTTCATTAATATATTTGATTTAAAGTGTGACATTTATCTTAACTATTTATATTGTTTTAAATAAACATATGGTTAAAGCTATGAGTTCAAGCAGTTAATATAAGTATGACAGTATCACTGTAAATATAAATAGTCATCAATAGAATTAAAATTGAAATTAAACTATTAATGTGTAAAGTAAAAAATAATGTAACTGTGGTGTAAAAAATAAGCACTTACTAAACAATTAAATTTGGCAGTCGAAAAAAAATTACAAACAAAATTATAGCTCATAAATTTATTATGCTTTGTTTTGTATTAAATAATAATTACGAGTATAAATGTACATATTATTGAAATTTGTAATACCTAATACTAAAACATAATTTTTTATTATTTTGTTTTTTCATTTTACCTTTAATTTATTTATTTTAATTTTTTTACGAATTGAATCATCTTCATATTTATCACGTACATATATACTTTTTACTAAGGACACGAATTGAGTTTAATTCTTTCGGTGAATTTTTGTTTATTGAATTTTTTTGTATATTTTAGAGAAATTATATAGAAATCATGCATAAGGTCAGATCCTCTTGTAAAAATTCAAAAATGTTATACTTCTTATGTCTGGCTTTCGATTTTGTTAGCAGTTTTGTACATATGTTTACGTATATGATATGTAATCAATACATATTTGTAATCAAAAATTTAATATTATAAAATTATAAATATGGGAAATTAAAATGATTTTTTTGCCATGATTATAAGTCAAAAAATTGCTTGCATTAGAATTTTATTGATAAAAGTTGATATTGTACTTCGAAAAAAGCAACGCCAACTAAAAATAATTAAAATTTAATAAATTTTTATACATATTTTTTAACCCTATAATATCTTATTTCTTTTTTTTTCATATGTATAAATTTTGAAATTTAAGAATTGCTAAGCAAAAAATAAATATGCTAATGTGCATTAATTCAAACTAAAGTTTTATTATATTCAAATAAAACTATAATTTTGCATTTCATTAGTTTTAATTTAATAATAACTGTACAATAAATATTTTTCGGACTTCCTTCCAAAAAAAGAATTTTCAGTCTCATTAGGGTTTAAATTTAGATAAGGAAAAATGACAATACAACAAGTAAAAACGTTTCAGTCGGTATGAACCGATTGAATTATACCCTGCACCTTTCATTGTTGTATAGCAATTACTCAAACCTGTGAAACTATTCTATAGAAACTTCACGGATATGTCTGATCTATAACTGAACACACAACTACCAAGTTTCGTGAATCTGACTTTATTATTTTTCCAAATATTTAAAATTAGCTTTTGGAGTTGTACGGCAGGTACCTGAACCTGCCAAGCAATTCCACTAAAACTTCGCTAATATATCTGATCTATAATTGGACACACAACTGCCAAGTTTCATGAATCTAACTTTATTACTTTTCCAAATATTTAAAATAAGCTTTTGGACTTGTATGGGAGCCACTCGAACCTGTCAAGCAATTCCTCCAAAACTTCAGAAATATCTTTGACCTATAATTGGACACACAACTGCCAAGTTTCATGAATCTGTCTTTATTACTTTTCCAAATATTTAAAATAAGCTTTTGGATTTGTATGGGAGCCACTCGAACCTGTCAAGCAATTCCACCAAAACTTCAGAAATATTTTTGACCTATAATTGGACACACAACTGCCAAGTTTCATGAGTCTGTCTTTATTACTTTTCCAAATATTTAAAATAAGCTTTTGGACTTGTATGGGAGCCACTCGAACCTGTCAAACAATTCCACCAAAACTTCAGAAATATCTTTGACCTATAATTGGACACACAACTGCCAAGTTTCATTAATCTGACTTTATTATTCTTCCAAATATTTAAAATAAGCTTTTAGACTTGTATGGGAGCTACTCGAACCTGTCAAGCAATTCCATCAAAACTTCAGAAATATATTTGACCTATAATTGGACACACGACTGCCAAGTTTCATGAATCTGACTTTATTATTTTGCCGAATATTTAAAATTAGCTTCTGGAGTTGTATGGCAGGTACCTGAACCTGTCAAGCAATTCCATCAAAACTTCAGAAATATATTTGACCTATAATTGGACACACGACTGCCAAGTTTCATGAATCTGACTTTATTATTTTGCCGAATATAAAAAATTTGCTTTTGGAGTTGTATGGCAGCCACCCGAACCGGTGCAGCTATCTCATTAAAATTTTTAGAGCATATGTAGAATATAATTGGACACATGTATACAAAATTTTATATTTGTACCTTTATTAGTTTTTGAAATAATTAAAATAAACTCTTTGAGTTGTATGGCAGCTACCCGAACCCGTTGTCCGAATTGGTCCAATAACAATAGGGTTCGTCCTTGGCACAAAAGAAGCAACTTGTGAAAGTTTGGTGTCGATTGCATTATTCGTTTTTGAGTTATCGTGCGATCGGACGGACGGACGGACGGACGGACGGACGGACGGACGGACGGACGGACGGACGGACGGACGGACGGACGGACATGTCTAAATCAACGCAGAATTTTACGCTGAGCAAGAATATATATATATGTCCATACCCCAGATGACTCCTTCAAGTAGTTACAAACTCCATACCAAAGTTAATATACCCTTCACGAAGTGCAGGGTATAAAAATGGCCGTACTAGACTTATAAAGGAATTCTTTTAAGAACAAAATTCTATAAGAGTTGACATTTTATAAAAAATATTTTATGAGAATTAAAATTTTTTATGGCTTGCTGAAGGTAGCTCTACTAGTAGCAGAATTTTTAACACTACAAGTGCTAACTCTTTATTGTAAGAACCTTACGAGAGTTGCATAAAAACAAAAAAAAGAAAAAAAAATTATGAGAGTATTCGAGAATGGTATGAGAGTTTTATGAGATTTTTGGTCGACTTTTTAGGGTATTACTCTTTGAAATTGTTACTTGGGTTGTATTGCAGCTACACGAACCCGTTGTCCGAATTCGTCCAATTACAAGAGGGTTCGTTCTTGGCAGAAAAGAAACAACTTGTGAAACTTTGGTGTGGATTGTATTATTCGTGTTTGAGTTATCGTGCGTTCGGATGTACGGGCGGACGGACGTGGCTAAATCAACTCAGAATTCTACGCTGAGCAAGAATATATGTACATGTCCATACTGCAGATGACTCCTTCAAGTTGTTACAAACTCCATACCAAAGTTAATATATGGTGAAAAATGGTGGTTCTCGAATTGAGCATAGCCTGATTTTTCTTTTTTTTTTCTTCTATTTTCATTCAATTAAGCTAAAATTTGTTTCTTGTTTCGTCGCCCCTATGGGCATTACTTATACTTATGTATACATAGTTTGGCTATATTTTAATATAAAATATAATAAAAAACTAAAATTAAAATACGTATATTCAAAATTAATGTATTGAGTAATAATCTAATAATATTGAGTAATACCTGCTGTCAACAAAAACGACCGCAATTCACTTTTAAGTCTACCTATTTTTTCAATGTTTTTCAGACTTTCTGGCAAATTATTAAAAAGTTTAAACCCTGTAATAGAATTTTTTTAAAGTGTTAATATTGTTCCCCTGGATTGAACTCTAATGTTATTTCTATATCTTATATAGAATCTATGAGAATATCTCTCGATAAAGGTGGTGTTTGAGTAAACGGTTTATCTAAAAATTTGTATATAAACAATATTTGCTGATATTGTTTGTATATATGTAACGTATTAATATTGTCTACAGTAGAGTACTCTACAGTAGAGGTAAGTTTAGAGTATTCTTTGTTATTTGTTTTTATATTTATACATAATATTGCTGAACACATTTAATTTTTTATCCAACATCGAAATATGCGGCATCCAATTTAAGTTTGTATCAAGA